TCACATCTCGTATGTTGAACATATTTTCATAGAAATTTTTGTCATCAATATATCTTCTATGGTAAAGTCTCTGTTCAGATATTTTGGTCATTGTTAAGTTTTCTTTTTAAGACATTTTTAAGTTTCATGAACTCTGTATATTTTAGATAATAATTTTTTCACAGATATTTTTTTTCTATTCTGTTGCCATGTTTTGCATTTCCTTAGCAGCATTTTTCACACAGCAGAAGTTGTTAATTTTTATGAAGTCCAGCTTCTACCTTACTTCCTTCATTGATTATGTTATTGATGTTATATCTTCAAAAGCCTCATTTAAATCAAGTTCATTTAGATTTTCTCCTATGTTGTATTTTAGGAGTTTTATACTTCTGGGTTTTACCTTTATGCTTATGACTTATTTTGAGTTAATTTTTGTGAAAGATATAACAGTTCTGCCTAGATTATTTTATTTATATTTACATACTTATTTTTGTATACGGTTGTCCCATTGTTCCATTGCCATTTATTCTAAACTTGATCTTTTTTCCATTGTGTTTTCTTACTCTTTACTCACAGGTCTGTAGACTGTATTTATGTGGGTTGGTAAGTTTCCTTCTCCTGATTTCTATTTTCCTCCTAATATTTCCTATAATAATTTTAACATTATAAAATATTCCTGCTACTTTTAGTTCTTTGATATTCTGAGGTCATTTACAGAACTCAGGTACTGATTTTTGAAGAATGTTATTAACACTAGAACGATTATGCACAGTGAAAGAAAAGCAACTGGCATCTCTCTTCCAAACTGTGCATTGAAAAGATCCTTTCAAGTGATCTCTTTTTACTTTTTCCCTCCTGAGTTAGAAAAACTTGATTATAGCCTTCTTCTTACCTTTGAAATGTTTGGTAATTGAATTATCTGTGAACTCAGCTTCCTATTACTTTCTACTCTTTCTTTTCTGCTTTGTTTCTTCTTGTGGTACTGGGCATTGAACCAAAGGCTTGAGCTACTTCTCTAGCCTACTTTTTAGTTTTAGTTTTTTACTTTGAGACAGGTACTTGTGTACCTTTGATCTCAAGCTGAGCTCAAACTTGTGATTCTCCTGACTCAGCCTCCTGGAATTTGCTCACCATCTGTCTGGTTGTTTCATCAGACATTTTCATGAGTAAGAAGTCAAACAATGATCCAGGTTATACAAGGGCTAAAAAACACAGAAAAATTGTAAAATAGGATCATTTTGAAAGTGATTGGTCTCACTGATAAGGATATATTACATGATGTGGAAAGTAAATTTCTTGATCTAAAAAGAAAAAAAACCACACAAAACCTAGAGATAATTACTGTATCTGGCCCCCACTTAAGGGAATCCTACATATAGCTCCCACCATTGTTGCTTGGTTCACTTTCAATTTTAATTTTATTATTTTAAAAAAGGGAAAAGATTATTTTCCAATATAAGGTTTTCTTTATTTGCTGTTTTAGAGAGTTAAAACCAAATCAAACCAAATCTGTAGATGATTAGGGCATTGTTTGCCTTTGCCTTCTTTAATTTATAAGCGAATTTGTTTCACTTAGATTTCTTGCCCCTGGAATGATGTTAATTCCTACCAAAGTGGCTATTCTAAATTAATAGTTTCTTGTGTAAAGAAGACTCTAGATTTAAAGCTAGATTTGAGAGAAGTGTCTTGGAGTTCAGTCTGAAGACTTACCCCAGTAAGAGACACCTGTGTTATGTCACTTATTTCTTCTGAAATTTAGTTTTATTATCTGTAAATTGGTAATATCAGTTTTTACTAAACTTATAGGATTTTAATATGAATCAAAAATGTTTTAAAAATGAGAACATACAAATTCTTTGTGAGATTTATTAAAATTATCATTGGTTTCATAGGATTTTTGGGAGGGCTAATTCAAATAAATAGAGCTGTAGACCCTGCTTGTCATGCAAAAAGTTCTAAAAAATTCAGATATTATTAAAATGTATTTATTATAACAAGATTTAATATTTAACATTCTTTCCCTTATCCCATGTTCCTTAATATCATTTAGATTAAAACTTTTCTTTATTTACAGAATACAGTTGTCTGTAACTCTCTTGTATAACCTTCATTTTAATGTTAAATTTTCCCCCAAATCATGATTAGTTTATTCTATTTACCTTAGTTCCTATCATTACCATCCTAGTCTAAGACACATATATCTTTCTTTTTTTATTCTGAATTTTTTAACACCTTATTTGGTTTACTTTTTTCCAATATTTTCTCCCTCCTCCCATCATCTCCCAGAAAACTCATTTGCTGTCTTTAAGTTCCTATGAGAGCTGAGGAATTATTACAAACATCTGTGGGGTTATTTTCCTGTTAGTGTAAGCCGGTTCCCTGGACCATTTTGTGTTCATTTAACTCCCATAAATCCTCTAATGCACAGGTTAAATATTACTCCTAACAGTTTTTCCCAGTTTTCTAGCATAAATTAGATATCACTTTTAGAATCCTAGATTTTCAAGCATTTATGATTGTTCCAATGTCTGTCTTTCTATCATATTATCTTTCTTACCAGAGCATACACTTAAAGAGAATAGAGAGTGTCTATACTCAACTCATAAATGCATGTTAATATTTTTTGAATGAATAAATACATGATAAATAAATGAATTTAATCATATTTTTGCTTCATATTGGAATTCATGATTTTGCTAATTTGCTATTTTAGTAGTCTTGTTATAAATCTATGTGTTAAAAATGACATTAAAATTGTGTTGCTGCAAGCAACATGGATACTTTGTTCCCTACCAGTATTGCTTTTACAGACCACTATGGTCTTCAGGCATTTAAGAGAGATTTATAGGGGCCTTGAATCATTTCCTCCTGGCCTTCTTGGCAGGCAAATATGTGCTGCCAGAACTGCTTCCCCAGAGTGTCTGTACCATCCAGTGAGCACAAGGCAGCTGGAAGTGCTGTAAACACTACTTAGCCCTTGCAACCTGCCCCTAGTATTGCTGCTTCTCTGCCAGCCTCCCTAAGAGTGTCAACCCAGACACTTTGTTGGTGGATTTGCCCTTCATAACACCTTTGGGAAGACAGAATAAAATAATAATCAATAAGTATAATACATACAGTGAAAATGATTGAAGAGATAAAGCGAGTAAAATGCTCAATGGCTGTTATGAGGAACATTCCATAACATTCCATAGGGCTCTGTCTAGGGAAAGAGGTGTGTGTTAAATTTGTTGTATTTTCACAGAACATTTGCTTTTTTTCCCTATACCTTCCTATTTTTACTCATTTTCTTGCCATTTTACTCATATTTCTTTGCTATTTTGGGAGCCTTTTTTTTTTTCTTTCTGCTTCCCTAACAGATTTCTTATCTTTTCTTCACTGTTTTCTCCTTTCAAAATTCATTCCTTATGTGATTATTTTTTAATTTTGCCTTTTACTTTTATTAAACTGCACCACACATACAAATCTATGAGACAAAAAAGATCAGGCTTGCACTAATATCAATAAAATAAGGATTTAGAAACCTTATCTCAAAAGAAAAAGTGTTAAAAGGGCTGGCAATTTAATTCAATGCAAAAGTCCTGGGTCCAATCCCCAGCACTACCCAAAATAAGAAGTATTCTGGGTGCTCCTACATTAATGTACTTTCTCTGCTCTCATAATATATATTTTATCCCATGGTTTGGATATTTTTTTCTTTGATTTTTTTCCCTATAAATATTTTGATAAAACTAAAAGAGAGGCTGTCTATCTCATGTATTTTCATAGTGTCAGTACTTATCAATATGCTTCACAATAGCAGAAACTCTAATAATGATAATTGAATAAATGGGGTCCTAGACAGTGCCTATTATGCCTATCATTTTGGATCCATTTTTCCGAGTCCCTTGATGGGTCCTGTTTTTAAAAAATGCTGGGGTTGTTATTATACTCTTAGCTACTTGGGAGGCTGTGATGGGAGTGGTGGCTTGGGAGGGTGGTATGATTCAGGCAACCACGGAGTCTGGGCAACTAAGCAAGACTCCTCACACACAAAAAATTGCTAATATGGAAAGACTTGAAAGAGAGATAACAGAGACATTTCATAGATGAGTGTTAACATTATTAAGAACAATCTTAGGGTAGGAGGCAAAGGGAGATGGAAGGAAGCAACACAAAAATACATACTGGACAGAGTTTCCAATAATTTGTCATGATAGTCAACTTTGAAAAAAATGTAGCTGGAGAATCAGAAACTGGAATATACAGAGTAGAGAATTAGGGCCCAAAGTGAGCCCAAGAAGCAGAGGTTCAAACAGTGACAAGCTCTACAAACAGCAGCTGCACATCAAAAAACAGTCTCTATGAGTGCTCAGTATAAAGGGACTGGTGCTTACAGACTAGGCTTTTCCAGTTTACCCACACACACAAATAGCAATAGCTGACAGTAATGTCATCTTTGAATGACATGGGCACAATGAGACAATTTTTATTAATTTCTTTAATTTGTATTTGCTGTGGGGTGGTTTTATCATGAATCCTTCAATTGAATAAGTCTAATACATAAAAATTAAATAAGATTTTTTATAAGAATGATCTTCTTTCGCTAAATTTGACCTCTACCAAAAACATTTTAATAGGATTATTTTCAAAGTGGTAACTGTCACTAGAATATAAGTCCAATATATATTATTTAACTATATTTTTGAAACAGTAGGATACTGAGTCAAAATTATCTTTGGCGATTACATCTGATATGTAATCTACATTATATTTCACTTTCTCTGATAGTGTGAGGAAAACTAGGACGATTCTTGGAAGGACAGACTGATTCAGAGCCATGTCACATTAAGAGATTAAAGAAGATAATGGAATAATCCGTATAATACCAAACATTTTCAGAGCTGAAAATGAAAGTAATTATATTTTTAAAATAAATTAGGAGTGTCCCTTCTTTGAAGAACTACTATGGTGCTAAAAAAGAAAGTGAAAATCTCATTTCACGAAAGTGATTACTCAGAATTAAAATTATTTTTACTCACATTCAGTAGAAAATTCCCCTTAGAAGCAGTTCATTTGTGGGGGAGTTGGGTAGAACGAAAGAACACCATGAACTTCAAATAATTTTGGCTTCCATATCTGTGAATTAAGTGAAATAGTTAAATATTTTATTTTGCATAATCAGAAAATGTAACACAGGAAACATACATTTAGTCATTTTCAGACACTATGTAGTTTTCACTTTGTTAGTCACTAAAGACAAAGACTTGAATATGCTAACATACTTGCAATTGTGGAGGTCATAGCCTTGTAGGAGAAAACTGATCTATTAAGAGATAAGTACTCAGTTAAGAAATGTCATGCTGAAATGTCCTGTTTCCAGAGCCAGAAAGAAAACGTTAGTTTGGGGGGTGGTAAAGAAGAGACAGGACTTGAATAAATAAGGTTTCTTTGAGGAGATGATATTAGACTCCATTTTGAAAGATGAATTGGAATTTTCATGGTCAAAAAGTAGGCCAAGAGGAAGGGCATGAGCACACGAGGCACTGGAGAGATGACTCAAAGGAAATGGGAGCATTACTCATTCTGAATGTGTGTATTTCCTGGAGATTGAAATTTAGATCACAAGAATGAGCTTTGCCAGTAAGTATATTCTTGAAATACGTGAAACTTTTGTTTAAATAATATATTGCCCCATCAGGATTGTAAAACTATAACTTTCTTGTTCTTTGAACATAGAGATGTTATGAACAGTGGAAAAAGTATCAGCTTTGTGGAGAGGTAAATCTGAGTTGAGATATCTACCTAGACCATTTATGAGCTAAGTTACATTTGATATGGACCTGTACTCTGAGTCTAAATTTGCACGAATGTGGAGAGCTAATGGAAGTTCTCTTTCACAAGGATTACTATGGAGTAAAGGAAACCTTCATACCACATTTGGGAAGATAAAACACAAATGCAATGACATGCTAGAATATATCTTGGTGCTTTCCCCATCTGATTTCTCACTTCATGGGGTTTTATAACTTTCTGATAAAGATTCAAATTTAATTTAAATGTAGTTTTCTTTTTACTTAAACTACTTCTTTTAGTTTTAAATATCATTTTTATCTAAATTAATTGTATCAATTTACCTGAAATCGCATTCATATGGTAAAAATGTAGTCAGGCATGCAAGAAAGCAAGATTAAATATTAATTTTTGGAAGTTAGGAGAAAGGTCTCCCTGTTTTTCAAACCAATCTGTCTCGTGCTGTGTCTTTCAGCTTAAGCTATTCCATGCTATTCTGAGCTGTTCTTTACAAGCTCTTTCTGGATGCTCTTCAAAGGAACTTGTGAGGAAAACTAAACAGTATAGCAAATGTTGGGCTACCTAATTAATATTTTTATGGATCTGAAAACATTTTCAATGATAATTCAGAGGGAAGAAATGCCTTAGAATGGATCTTACTAAATATACTATACAAAAATATTATAATATTAAATATAAGAAAGTCTTGTGAAATATAATTTTCTTGATGAAGACTACAGAACTTCATTTCTCATTTTAATGAAAGAAATGGTAGCAACAATAGCAGCAGTAGCAATCACTGAATATCTATTTTGTGCTTATGTCATGAGATTTAAACATTATAAAATTGTTATGAGGATGGCTATCATTATCTTCATTTTTAAAGTAGGGAAATGAAAGGTAAGATTTTGATATCACACAGAGAATAAGAGGTGGAACCAGTATCAGAATGCAGATGTGTCCTACTCAAGTCCAAACAGTACCCACAGTGCTTAATTTCCTCTCTCTCTGCCTAAAGGGTTGTTAGTGTCACTAGACAAAGAATAAATTCTTCCCACTTTGAACCCAAGGTTATACAGTCTTTCATAGTTCTCTTTAAATATCATGCCACTCCATTACCACCTACTGGCTAGTATTCATTTTTCTCCACAGAGCTTCACTGGATGTCTCCCAGACAACTAAGATTCCTTGCCTCCTCTTGACCATAGACTTCCATCTTTATACTTCTTTCTCTTCTTTCTCAAAATCTGTGTTGGCATGCTCCAGTCCCTTTTGTATTCCACTGATTGCTCCAAGTAGTGGACCATGTGATGTTATTTACCCAAGAGTGAGCACCAAAATAGATTATGTTCCCATATTCTTACTAGAAGTTGAAATCTTTCACTAGACCTTGGTTTTAGTACATATGTTCTTTGAAAGGCAGACTCAGGTCCATTGGAAGACAATTCTACGTAACTTAAGGGATTCCATACCATTTAATTTTCAAGAAAATTCCGGCTAACAAATCTATCCTTAATTAATTTCATGCACAGGAAGTCTTATTGTTAATGAGATTAATAATAATTAATGCATTTAATTATTAATGTGTTTTTGCCTGGATATTTTAGGAAAAACAGGTATTTTCATTTTTGGACCTTGTAGCTGGATGTGAATCTCAATGTGTTATTTTAATGTTAATTTTTTGGGACCAAGGAATGCATGAAATTTCAACCTCAGTCTCACATAATTCTAACATTCAATTCTGTGAATAGAAGTCTTGTAAAAATTATACCACATTCCCAGGTCTTGAGGTCCTAGCAGAATGACTGGATAATTTCATCCACCAAATATTAGATTTGGAATAATATAAATTTCACAACTTTACAGAACTATTAGTCAACTTAAAAATGCTTAAGTCTAATTATTAGTTTTTATAAGTGAGACAATTTATGCCAAGAACACCTAAAGGAGTAAACCAAAGTGATTAGTAAAAAAATAAAGTCTAATCTCTAGCCACATTTTCTACTTAACCTTAGAAAATAAAGACATTTGAAGAAGTATCAGATTTTTTTGAACCATATTAGACTCTCCCAACTAGTTCAATATTTGTCAAATTCAATGTTTATTTAATCCTTAAGAACTGGCTGCAGAAAAAGAAAATTTGGCAAAGCTGGTTTTATACTTTACCTGTTGGGACACATTTAATCAAAGCTTTACAATTCTATTAGAATGGTAAAATAGTTTTTGTATAGAGGTAAAAATAAATAAAATTTGAGAATAGTTATGCAAATAAGTAGATGAAATTAATGATGAATTGATGTTTAGAGCAGGTTGCTTTGCATGTGTTGTCTTTATTTTTAGAGAGTTTTAGGAAAGAGCTCTTCAGCAAAGACTATGCAAGCATGATCAGACTGCTTTTGAGTTTACCGAATCAACTTTTTCAGTTGTACTGTTGTGCCATTACACTATTGTAGACATCTGCTTCTCGACAATTGTATTGTTCTGCAGTCAATGCTTAAATATCATATGCCTTGTAAGTCTTTACATGTAAACATTAACTCCCTATAAGTACCAAAATGGGCATTGTGAATGAAATAGGAAATTATGGGCTCTGAATTACAGTCATGCATGATATTTCAATGCCCACAGTAGACCCATGAGAGTACAAATAATGGACCTGACAAATTCCTATAGTCCAATAAAGTTATAACTGAAGAAGACCAAACAGCTAGGGGAAAAACAAAACAAAACAAAAACTCCAGGAAAACTTGTAATGAAGAGTTTAGCAGAAGCCTTTGCAGTACTCAACATGATACCTAAAACTTTGAACACATGGACCCTAACACCAAAGGATTTTCATTAATGCAGATGAATGCTCATGGTGCATTATTGGGTTCCACACACATTTATTATGGAAAAAGAAACAAATCAAATTAACCAGAATTGGCATATATCTGAAAAGGCTGGTAGTTCCACATCAAGTGCCAAGCAAGTTGTTCAGGAGGAATTTCAGAAGAAGGTACTAGTACAGTGTGAAGTGACTTATTGCCTCTGACGAGCTTCAGTGGGACGAATAAGGAGGTGGAAGACAGTGATATAAAGGATCCTGTTTAAGACTAAGCTAATCTGTTTATCTATGTCCTTGTTTGTAACACAAAAAAATTTAAAACTAGGAAAATGTTTTAAAGCTAAAGCTTATTAAATAAAGACAAAAGTATTTTTGTACCACTGTGTAGTGTGTTTGCATTTTAAGAAAACTGTTATTACAAACCAATCGAAAGGAATAACAATTTAAAAGTTCATACAGCAAAACAGTTACAATAAGCCAAGATTAACTTATTGTCAAAGAATTTCTCATGAACTTCATGTAATCTAAGAACACAGTGTTTATTTTTTATTTTTTTATTTTTGCTTAAATTTTTTTATTGGTACGTTTTAGGTATACAATACATTTACATTTATCATTGGGTGCTTGTACCTGTACATGATGTGTTTTGGTTCTTATTTTTTCCCCATTCCCTGTGCTCCTTTCCCTATTTGCAAAGACTTTCTTTCCATTTTTTCCTTTTCTCATAATTTTCCTTTCCCTTTTTTCCTTTCCCCTTCCCCTCTCACTTCCCTACCTCTTTGGACCTTTTCTTCCTATTTCACATTATCAATTATTCATTTTAATCATTTTAATTCTTATTTACACTTTCAGTTTCTCACGCTAGAGAAACTATTCGGTATTTACACTTGTGTCCTATTTATTTCACTTAAGAGTTGTCTTCAATATGCATCCATTTAGCTACAAATGTCTCTAGTTTCTCATTCTTTATGGCTGAGTAGTAATCCATTTTATAAGAAAACCACATTCTTTATCCAGCTTCCAGTTGATGGGCACTTGGGCTGTTTCCAAGCTTTCGCTATTACAAACTGTGCCGCTATGAACATGGGTGCACATATATCACTGTGGTATGATTCTTTTAATTCTTTGGGGAAGATACCCAGCAGGGGAATACCTGAGTCAAATGGGACCTCTAGCCCTAGATCTTTGAGATATCTCTATACTGTTTTCCACAGTAGTTGCACCAGTCTGCACTCCCACCAATAATGGAGAAAGGTTCCTTTCTCCCCACACCCCCACCAGCATTTGTTATTCGTTGATTTCTTGATAGCAGCCATTCTTTCTGGGGTGAGGTGAAATCTCAGTGTTGTTTTCATCTGCATCTTTCAAATGACCAGTGATGTTGAACATTTTTTCATATGTTTAGTTGCTGCTTTTACTTCATCTGAGAAATGTCTGTTCATTTCAGATGCCCATTTTGAATTGGGTCTTTAAATTTGGGGGGTCTGAGTTTTTTCAGTTCTTTATATATTCTAAATAGTAGCCCTTTGTCTGAGGTACAGCTCCTAAAATTTTTTCCTACATTGTAAATTGTTTCTTAGCTCTGTTGGTGGTTTCTCTTGAAGTGCAGAAGCTTTTTAATAAGGTGAGATCCCAGTTGTTGATTCTTTCTGCTAGTTCCCATGCTACTGAGGTTTCATTCATAAAGTCTTTTCCTATGCCAGTGTCTTTAAGAGTTCTACATAACTTATCTTCCAGCAAGTTTAGTGTTTCTGTCTTAATATTTAGATCTTTAATCCACTTCGATCTTAGTTTAGTGCATAGTGATAGATATGAGTCTAGTTTTAATCTTTGACAGGTTGAAATCCAGTTTTTCCAACACCATTTATTAAATAAGCTATCTTTCCTCCAGTGAGGGTGGTTGGCTCCTTTGTCAAAGATGCAGTAGCTGAGTATTTCTGGAGTTGTTTCTGGATCTTCTAATCTATTCCACTGATCCTTGGGTCTGTTTCTTAGTCAATACCATGCTGTTTTGATCACAATAGATTTGAAGTATAGTTTCAAGTTGGGGATTGTGATACCACCAGCCATGTCTCTGTTACCTAGAATTGCTTTTGCTATTCTAGGTCTCTTCAGGACACAGTGTTTATAATATACACAGTAGTGAGCATGTCATCTCTTAGACCTTCATATTCACTGTTTAAAAAATTAATTAAGTTTATTGGTACATTTTAGATATACATAATGATCATATTTATCATAGGGAATTTGTACCTGTGTATGATATATCTGGATTCTTCTTTTTTTGCATTTCCCTCCCCTCCCTCAACCCCTCTTCCCCTCTTTATTTACAAAAGCATTGTTTCCATTTTTTCTTCTTTTCTCATTTTTTTCTTTTCTCTTCCTTTGTTTCCCCCTCCCCCCTCCCTAGTTCCCCTTCCCATTTGAACATTTTCTCCCTATTTCACAATCTGATTATACATTTTGGTCACTTAAGTTTCTCACACAAGAGAAACAAGGTGATATTTAAACATGTGTGTCTGAGTATGGTTTCAAGGTGTATCCATTTACCTAGAAATATCTAAAGTTTATCCTTCTTTATGACTGGGTACCACACTGTTATATATATAAAAAACACATCTTTATCCATTAATTTGTTGATGGGCATTTGGGCTGTTTCCAAGATTTAGCTATTACAAACCGTGTCACTGTAAACATGGGTGTGCATATATTGCCAAGTTATGATGCTTATAATTCTTTTGAGATGATAGCAAGAAGGACAATAGCTGGGTCAAATGGAACCTCTAGTTTTAGTTCTTTGAAGAATCTCCACGCTGATTTCCACAGTGGTTGTGACAGTCTACACTCCCATCAGCAGCAGAAAAGGGTTCTTTTTCTACGCAGCCATCCAGCATTTGTATTTTCACTCTAAAATCAGAAACAAGACAAAGATGTCCACTATCACCACTCCTATTCAACATAGTTCTAAAAACATTAGCCAGAGCAATTAGACAAGAGAAAGAAATACAAATAATAAAAATAGGAAAGCAAAAAATTAAATTATTATTTGCAGATGACATGATACTCTACATAGGAGACCCCAAAAACTACACCAAAAGGCTTCTAGATTTAATAACCAAATTCAGTCACATAGCTGGATACAAAGTCAACACTTAAAATCAATAGCATTCTTGTACACAAATAACAAACTCACTGAGAGAGAAATTACTGAAATCACACCTTTCACAATAGCATTGTAAAAGATGAAATACTTAGGAATCAATTTAATAAAGGAAGTAAAATCTTTACATTGGAAATTACAGTACTTTGAAAAAGGAGATCCAACAGGATATCAGAAAATGGAAAGAAGAACCAACATAGTGAAAAGGGCCATACTTCCAATACAGATTTAATGCAATGCCAATCAAAATACCAAAAGTGTATCTCATGGAATTAGAGAAAACAATCTTAAAATTTATTTAGGACCAGAAGAAACTTAGAATAGCAAAAACAATTCTGCACCACAAAGGCAAGGCAGGGGGCATCACAATCCCTGACCTGAAATTACACAACCTTCATTCTAAAAAAATAAAAATTCCAAGCTTTATATCTTATTTTATTTTATTTTTTAGTACCAGGAATCAAACTCAGGGTCTCATGTTTGCGAGGCAGGTGCTGTGTTGCTGAGCTACATCCCTGACCGCCAGACACAGTTTCTCATTCATCAAAAGCATCTTTCAATCCTGCAAGCTTCATACATGGTAAACACTTCATACATGTATACCAGTTCTTTCATTTATACTGTATTTATGCTGCATCTTTTCTATGTTTCTATACACAAATAACCATTGTGTTACAATTGTCTACAGAGTTCAGTACAATAACAAGCTCTACAGGGTTGTAGCCTAGGAGCAACACACTGTACTATTTAGCCTGAGTGTCTGGGTTACAGCATCCAGCTTATGTAAGTGCTCTCTGTGATGTTCACAGAAGAAAAGAATTGCCTAAGTTTATATTTCTAAGGACAAATACCAAACATTAAGTGGTGTCTGACTATATGTATTATATTTAACTTTGCACAAGTGGCAGAAAAACTAAGGAAAATTAAATTATGCTACAATTAGCAAATAAATTGCAAGCATTATATTAAACCTATTTATAAACCTGTAATGTAGACAGTAATAATTAATTGGAATAGAAGAGATACTAATTGGGTAAGTTTACTTACTGTAGTTATTTTTGCCATGAAAAAAATAAATGTAAGATATAAAGATATTTAAATATCTTTAAGCTCAATTTTGAGTATAAACTTTTACTAAAACTAGCAATATTGTTTTATTGTCTGTTAACCTGTGAAACTTAACTATTTATGAAAGCTAATGATTTTTTTACTTCACTTTGGTTTTTCTGATGGTAGCAAATTTAATGCTACTGATTTTCTGCTCCAGTTTCTTTATATACTTGTTCTATGAGCTGAAAATATAGCAAACTAACTTAAAGGTGATGCTATTCTGGATCTACCTTTTAAGTCATCATATTGAATTTTACTTAATTTTAAGTAGTGTTTGCAAACTACATCATTCAAAGGTCTTAGCAATTTTATAAACCTAAATGTATTAACTAAATTGAATTTATTTTATGACAATGTCATTTCAAATATCATACATGATTGCAACTCTCAAAAATATATTATAGAAAAGTAATGTATTCTTGCCCAAGTCTGATTTATTTGTTATAAAGCTTTTGGATTTGGAAAAGCAATTAAAATGAAAGTGTGTGTTTATGCATTCAATGTAAATATACTGCAGCACAAATTGACATAAAGAAATAATTGCATGTTTATATGATAAGCATAATTGAAAATTAATTGATGTAATATTATTCATCTCTTGAAGATAACATATATAATATAACATGCTGTTTTATATTTAAGTACTAGACTATGGAATAAAGAGTTTATTGTTGATTCATTTCCTTTCAAATATGGTAACATAAAACAAACAGTTCAATTCAAAAGATTTTATTATTCAATAACAACTATTTTAGAAAAGTACCTTTCTAATATATAAGACATTCTTTAAACATATAGCTCTACACATAAAATCTTGGATTACAGGCATAGAGTCAACAGGTATTTATAACTTTCTATGTGTCAGGCCTAATGTTTGCTATTAAGAATGTTATTAAGAATAAGAACAGAATAATTGATGATCATATGGAATTTATAATCTGAGAAATTATCTTCCTTTCAGATGTTTCAATAGTCATGTTGAGATTAAATGAAAAGATGAATTGGACAGATTGGAATGTATTAAACATTTAGCTCTAAAATAAGATCATTATCATGGTTTCACTTAGGAAGCCTAATTAATGTAGCATATGTCTCTCTTAGCTAATATAATTGCATTTGTTATGATAAAAAATTATTTTTACTTTCAGTTTACATAATAGCATACAAGTGCAACAAACCATTGATTAATTGATCAAGATTATTTTGAAACTTCCTTTTCATAATTTTAACAAAATGTTCTTAGCGAATTATAGAACATTTGGAAAGCTCAGTTATAAGGCTGAAGTGAACAGAGTTAAACCACTAACCCCTTCTTATGCTTCAGAAAGTTAAATTCATAGTAGTACTATACTGTATTGAAAATACTTTGAGATATACATTGTATTGCTATACCTAGTAAATGTATGATACATTCTAAATATTACTTGTCCATCTTATTTATATATATATATATATATATGTATATATATGTCTATTTAGTCTATATTATAGTACACATGGAGAACAGAGATGATATACTGGTGGGGTTTTTTTTGGTACAGGGAACTAAACTCCAGACCTTCCGCTTTCAAGGCAATTGGTGGAACCACTGAGCTAAATCCCTGGCCCCAATATACTGTTTTTATTTTACAGATATTATGACATATTATTTGATATTTTCATTTAAAATACTTCAAGTCTGTTGAGTAAATATGCCTCAAGCAAAAACGTGCACACAGATCTACAGGGAGTCTTTTATAAAATGCAGATTCTTTAGTCTCTTTCTTATCCAGTAGTTTTGAAGGCTTCCTATTAATTCCCATTTCTGACTCTCCTGAGATACTGATGGATAAGTTACAGTTTCAGTGGCTTTACACTAGTTGAAAAATCCTCCACTAGATTAAAATCTGCTTGAAAGCCTGGTCCACTGGTGTTTTTCTTTGCTAAATTCTATGCTTTATCAAAGAAAAGCATCTCAGATACAAGAATACTTAAATCAATGTTATGCATGCAGCTACAAGGCCACATCTGAGATCATAGGGTAATGAGACATGTCTTCTTCGGGGGAAAAAAGACAACCACAATGTACAATGATTCCCCTTAAGTTTATACTCCTACATAATTAGGCACGATAATTTTATCAGTGGCCATTATATATGGCTTATAGGTAGTTAAATGAATTTGTAGAGAATGCATACAGTTTTCAAATAGAGAATGAGTTTACACAAGTATTATATTCTTTAGACCTAGCAATATTTTAGAGGTATGTCAGGTATTATTTTGAATTTTGTTTGGGAAGCTTCCATATTACAATTATGATCAGGACTTCATGAACCAATGTGAGCAAATATAGTTAAAAGCACCTCATAAAGAATTCTGTATTAACAAAGTTTATTTCTCTGTGTATGCTATAATTTATGAATCACTATGAATTTATGCTGCTCTTTTACCCTTTCCTTTGGTAGCTGCCAAAAACAGCAACTATGACTTCTGAGTATAGAAAATCATCTTAGTGAAACATATTGTTCTCTTCTAGTCTAATATGCCTTTTACTTTTCATTGAAATAAGAGGCTAAAACAAAAATACTTATAAAATGGTAGCCAGATATTATTGTTTTCTATAAATATTGATGACCTACTCAGTTTCTTTTACAATGGATTTTGAAACTTTTAAAAGATGAAGCTGTATTATAACTGAGTAATGTTTCATTTAATAGATGTCTAAGTTTTTCCATTTCCTAGTATTTCTGACAACCAATGTGGAAAATTTATAAAATTGAAGTGATTTTAAGTCTAGTATCCACTCTAAAACCTGTTTAATGATACATTTATACTGAAAAAACAGACTACTAATGTTTTTGAATAGTATCTGAATGCTTTTATTTTTTAAAAAATGGGATAGTTATTAGAAAAGCATGTAAAAGTAAATGAAAAAAGGGTATTATATAAAGTGCATCTATATTATCACAGTTCTGGATGGAATGCAAAAGTGTGATTTAATATTTACACCTACAGGAGAGAATCATTCAGTAAGCCTTGGAAAGTTATCCGGTCCATGTGAGACATAGGCCGTGCAGAAATGTGTCTGAGCAAGATCCAACTGCCTAGATGCCCACACATGACCACATGGTTAGCAGTTTTCATTTCCCATAATTCTTGGGGAGTTGATAAATTCCCAATGTCATAGAAAATTATTATAAGTTCGTTGACTAATTTCAAAGTCTTATGGGAGAAAGCTACACATATTCTCTCTATATAAAGTCTACCAAGTTAATGTATATATGCTATAGATCATTAATATACATGTTATTGCTAAGATATCAGAACATTGGTGATGCTATGAGCCATGTTACATTATTTTTTCAATTTTGGCAAAACAAAGATATAAGACTATCAAATTAGTAAAGGTGATCCCAAGATCAGTTATCCCTTCTAAAAGAGTCACATGACAAAGGATACCAGATGTGTTAGGGTTAGAAAATAGACTAGATAGATAGATAGAAGAGGAAATGGTGTCAATGTCCCATAGAAATATCATTTCTTTGTAATGTAACTGTTAAAGTTAACTGGCTTATTTCCTATATTATTTTTGATTATTCCTTTCCCTGCCTCCCACTGTAGACTGAAAAATTCATCAGACTTGTAAATGGCCACTGCACAGATGTTACAGTGATGGGTTGTTTAGGTCAAATGATAAGTAAAAGTTATCTGAAGACTGACATTGCTCTAGCAATCTTTCATTTTACAGGTAAAGAGATAGGTTCACTGTTAGTTTTTATTTTCTTCATCTCTTACCCTTTCTTTAATTTAAAACTTCTTGTTAAGTGTTAGTCTTTACAAATCATATATACACTTTCACATGTTTCCTCCACCTCCAGGGAAAGTGCAGATACAAACATATACAAGTATATCCTTCCATAATTATCCTAGCATTGCATAAGATTATGCTACATGCTTTATGATCATTTTAGCAAACAAGAATTATATGAGGGATTTCGAGGGATCTAGCTCAGGGATATAACACTTGTGGAACATGTACAAGGCCTTGGATTTATCCCCAGCACATACATACACCTCTGGACACACACCCACACACATACAGATAGTATTATTTTCACCTAAAATATTGTACTTCATTTAAATTTTTTCCATCAACACTTGTCAAGCCAATCATTCTTATCATGGATAAGTATTATATATGTTAAAATAACTTTTAAAATTGTTACCACAGAGGGCCTCCAGCTATCTAAACCATCCTCTTCTGTGACTTCTACTGGCTATAAGATGCTGCATGGCAAGTGCTTGGGGGATGCTCAAGCCACATAACAGTGACATTATGGGACAGCTGTTTCATCTAGGTCTGTCACTGATAGAAATGGAAAAATGAACAGCATCTTTCTTGCTGCCCTAGAAGCAGATTTGAGATGCCATGAATGCTCAGGAACATGTTTGCTGGTGCACAGAAAACAAACAAAAAATATACAAAATAAC